AGTGGTCGTCGAGCTTACGCTGAAAGTCTTCCTCATCCTTGATGGCGGCAGGCGTCAACGTGGTTTCGTTGGTCTCGGGTGTCGCCTTCGTCGATGTCTTGGCCGCGGCTTTGGTCGTCGACTTGACCGTCTTGGCCTTGGGTGTCGGCTTGGTGTCGGCCACGGGCGCAGGGGCCGTCGAGGCACTGGCGGTGCTGCTGCGCGTCGAGCGCTTGGCGGGCGGCGCTTCCACGAGCGTAGCGGCTTGAGCTTTGCGTTTGGCGGCCATGGTCAATCTTTGGAAATGGGATCCGATGTGAACGATGACAAGCCGTGGTACCACCACTCTTACCTTCAAGAGACCGTCACTCATATTGGACATGTGATTACAGTAGTCCCAAAACTCAAAACGCTGGAGGGTTGTCAGGAGGGTTGTTGGCTCCTGGGAAGGGCAGTGATACGTATTGATTTACGCATATATACGCGTAGGTTGCAGAAAGACTCGGATCGCGGTGCCAAATTGCCGCTGTAGCCCATTTCAAAAGCACCAGCACGCGAGGACATTATCCGGATATCGACAGGTCGAATTCCGGATGACGATTCAAAATCACGGCAAAGTCGACGGCGCACGTCACAAAGCTCGACTCATCGGTCTCCTCCACTGGGTCTCCTCGACTCATATTAGGTCTCGCTTAACGATGTGTGCTCGTTTCTTGTGCCATACCGGTACACTAACTATAAGATTGAATTTGAAATACTAATCACGAGTCGCTTGATTAACTCACACACTGCATGGCTTCTATGGGGTCGGCGGTCAAGAAACGCGCGACAACGGCGTAGACACATTGGAAGCGCTCGCAGTGGATGCGCGTTTGGCACAGCAGCGTCACGAGGGAATCTAAAAGCTGCTGAAAGTGGCTGCGAAAGATCTCGATCGTCGCCGGCGTGTGGCGCTGGAGGCGAATGTTCCACCATTCCAGGAACCCGAGCTTCTTGTGCGTCGGAAAGTCAAAGTTGTGTCGGAGGTCTTCCCAGAGCCACGGACAGACGCCTTGGCACGGGTGGCCAGGCGCAAGCGCGATTAGGAGCTCGTTTCGCAAGGCGATGAACGCCGACCACGTCTGTTCGACGCCGTAGCAGTCGCCGTCGTCGTGGACGCGCAGTACAAAGACCACGTGATCTTTCGTCGGCTTGACGATGCCGATGGGCAGGCGGACGTCGGCGCGAAGGATCTCGGCTCGCGACGCCGGCAGTCGGTGCTCGCACGTCGTCGAGACGCACGTCGACGCATACGACGCGACCAGGTCCGACTCTGGCATCGCCGGCGCAACCGATTCTCTCGACATCATCTTGCGTAATCGTGCAGATGGCGACGACACGGTTTGATTTGTGTAACCGGCTACATAGCCGGTTAAGAAAAGAGAAGCCGGTTAGAGTAGCCGGCTCGTAGCCGGCTTTCGAGTGGTCATACCAGCACACCTGTATGCAGGCGCCAAGTGAAAAGCCCCAGCATGGGTCCAGTGGCTTGGGTCTCTCTTGCCGGTATTCCTGGCGGGCAGTAGAGCCACTGCTTCCGCCCCACACAAACATGGAATTTGTAGTAAGGACGTACTAGTAGTTGCTTCGAATGGCAATTGAAAGCTACGGACACTTGGTGGGCGGCGACAAGAACTCGGACAGGAGCGCGCGAATGTTGTCAAGGCCAGAGCAGCGCGTCGCGGCAGCCAGCGCCAACATCGCATCGAGAAGCACTTGGTAGTGCTCGAGGAAGATTGCAATCGTTTCGGGCGTGTGGTGATGCAGCTGAATCTTGCACCAGTTACGAAACCCGACGTGCCGAGTGGAGCGCTCGACGTTGGGCTCGAGCTCGGCCCAGAGCGCCGTGCAGCGCTTGGCGCAGTCGTGACGCAGGGCCTTGAGTAGCGCATCTTCAAAGCGGTGGCACTCGGACCACGTGCGCTCGATAATGCGGTACGAATTGCATGCCGTCGAGACCTTGAGAACAAAGACGATGTACTTTCGGGACGGCTTGAGCTGCCCGGGGGGCAGGCGCACGACGGAGCGCAGGATTTCGGCGCGCACTGGACTCGGGCGACCGGGCGACACGAGGCTGCTGTCCATCGTCTTGTGTACTGTGCGGTAGACAGCGCGTTGGCAACTGGTCGCGGAAGCAGCGCCGTGACGGAATCGCACCGGTATCTTGCGTGGGAAATGCTAAAAGTCGCATTCGCTATAGAATCGATTGCATGCATGTGGGATATAGGTACGGGCGATTCCCACGCGCGACCACTCGCCAACGTGAGGAACGTCGGCTACTCGCCAGCACCCGCCGACCCGACACCGTTCGATGTGCTTCGATATTATCGGGACGCGGAATGCTGTGAGAGCTCGCTGCGGCTTCAAAACGCTCCAGTCTCTCGGGTACAAGTCCGCTTGTGAGACTTGGCGGCAACGGGTCTGGTCTTGTGCGAGTCTTTCGTCGAGGAGCGTCGCCTTCGCATCCACAATCCAGAAACCGTCTTCTCGGATCTCAGGATGGTCTGGGACAAGGCGCAATCAACCGGGCAGAGAAGCGAGTAGCCGGGAGCAAGCTGCGTGAAGGTCTATCGATTTCAACGAGCAACCGGGCCACGGACGAGGAAGAACCATCCACCCACCACTTCAAATTGACCTACGTACACTGCGAGCCGACCACGTGATGTAGTTCGAGGTCGGGCACAGTGCTGGCTCGGGACATAAATGGCACTGCAGCTATGGTACCAGCTCCAGAGGCACCCGACAGCAATAATGGCTACATCACCGAGAAGCTCACATGGCGGACGGAACCCGGCATCAAGTGTATCGTACATGCACAGACACTGCTGCGGCCGTTCTGTCGGAAGGCAGCCCGTCGCATGGTAGTACCGACGCGACCATCGTCATGGCGCATCAGGCAGCAGCAACGATCGCGAGTATTGGCGGCTAAAACACGCCGAGAGTGGCGAGGCACACGGACGAGTTGCGCAGTGCACACGCATCGCACGCTGTCCCATTGAGCGACTCTGGCTGCGAAGCAAACTGAGCGACGCGAGCACGAGAAGGTAGAGAAAAAGCGCGCGAGTCAAAGGTCTCGACGGTGTCGACCATCCTTGATGGAAAATGGAGAAAGGCGTGGCGGTGACGGCGTCGAAACATTGGAAACTTCTTCCTCTCTTGGTCGATTATATCGAAGCAGCGCAAGTCCGGCCGTCTCGCTTGCCACCCGTCATTGCGATTGTTGCATGCGACTCCGCGCCAGCCCGCTCGCATCGTTCTTGGCATCCTCAGCAGCGCCCGACCGATGGAGGAATGCCAACGGCAAAGTCGCAGCCGAAACCGTCATATCTTGAGCCGGCTTTTCGCGCCACATGAAGCGCCGGTCCGTGCACGCGGGTAAGTCGCCGACGTTGTCCAAGCGCAAGCGGGACGTGGTCAAACGCCTCGAAGCCGAGCCGTTCGCAGACGTGGCTCTCGACACGACGAGTGTCGCCTTTCAGAACTGGGTGCAGAAGGAAGACGCCGCGGATACGGCCAAGCACGGTGGGTCGTGGCCGCGCTTGGACCTGGGCCGGCGCATGGAGATCGTGTCGCACGACGTCATGCCATCGGTCGCTCCGCTCCTCAAGCGCAAACGTCACGCGACGGGTCCCGCCGTCGTGAGCCCTCCACGACGCCGCGCGCCAAGCGCGGCCCCAGAGCTGAATTTACCGTTCCTTGCCAAAGAAGACAAGTTGTCCACACTTAATCATCGTCGTCGTCTCATGAGGCGTGTAGACTTGTCGACCAGAAAGCAGAGATTGCAAGTATGCTCATGGACGTCCGACGGTACGAGCTGCAATTTTCAAGTCCACAGCGACCAGCGAGGCATGTAGCGTGCACCCGATGCGCGCGAGGAGCGCCCCTGATGGCACAGACGACCGTCTGCCCATCGATACGGGGCCCGACCGGCCCAAGACGGCCACGTCCATTCCGGTTCTCAACTTGGACAAACCAATTCAACTCGAAGGTAGTAAGAGCACGGTATGAAGGGATGTCCAGGATGATAACCCAAAACTGTAGACTGCATGGTGCCATATGTGTTTCACGAGCGCCATAGCGCCGCGCCTTTGCGAAGAGTGGACTTGTCGCCGTGGACAGTGCTGGACGGCAACGAACTTCTGCGAAGCGCGATGCCCCACGTCACATCCGCGTGTACAAGCCTCAACGTAGCGGGACTCCACGCCACCTTTGCACCGCCAGGTACATGACTACCTGCGATACCGCGCCTTCTATCTGCTGATGTACTAGTGCTGCAGCAGTTTTTTGCGAAAGTGCCTTACTTGCGGTCGCTGGATTTGAGTTCGAGTGCAGGCTTGATGGTATCTCTTTCGGGTCTCTCCTGCTTGTTTGCGATATGAATGAGGGTAGAAAGCCGACTATAAGCTCATTGGTGCTGCCTGCCCCAAGCTGCACGAGCTGCACCTAAACCATTGCACCGATGTTTCGGACGGTACATATTGCGTGGACACGCGAAGTGCTCATGAGGAAACCAGATCTGCTCCGGTATGTGGCGCGCGTCATGCCCCAGATCCAAGCGCTGCATCTGCGCCGCTGCGGACGCATCACGGACGTTGGCATATCGTTCATAGCGCAGGCATGGACGCGGTTGATTGACCTTTCACTGCAAGAGTGCCAGTACCTCTCGACCGCCGCACTCGATTCCCTTCTCGCGGTCCGTCCGACGATGGTTCTTTCGAAAGAAGTATTGATGTTGGTATAGACGTGCGGTGCGACGTTGCAGCGCCTCGACCTCTCCAACCTCCACCAAGTATTTTCGAGCTCATTTTTAGGATTGTCTCGATAGAGAACGTGCGTAGGTGACGGACACGACCTTGCAGGCACTCGCAGCGACCAAAGCCAAACACATGGTCGTTCTCCGGCTCTGCAACGCCCGACAAGTCACCGATGCCGGCGTACGTCCGTTGTCTCTCGTTGAAAAAGGATGAAATAGTTGTAGTTTGAAGCGCTTGTGCGCCCGCCGATGGGCTTTGTCTACACCGGCGCGACCCTCTCGTACAAGCTCGAGAAGCTCG